AATACGAACATACTTCCATTAATGAATAATTGTGGCCGCGATCATATTAGCATAAATTTTGTCTCACTTCTAGGGAAGAAGATATGCAAGCAGGTTTGAACCTGGTATACTATTACTTTTCTATGTTATGGAAAATGAATTCACTTTTACATATTCCAGAGGGCTCACGTGAAATTCATTCTTTTTGTTCACTACAATAAGGATTCTTCATGATTACAAAGAGTAGGGAAAAAAGACATGTGCTCGTTGTTAATTTCAATTTGATGTTTATTACCGTCCATCCACCACCGTCTGTTTCTTGATCACAGAAAACCTGGAAGCTAGACCCGTTCTTTGGAAAAATTGTGTACACCCTACTCTCCCTGTGACCTTGAAGCAAGAGGTCCTGACAGTCTCTTGGATAAAATACGCCACACGTGTCTATAAAAATAGTATGATTACACTGTGATCATTTTAAAATTTAAAATATCAAGGATTCAATTAAAATTAAAAATAAATCATTACATAATATTTCATTAGTGAAGTTGTCGATATTTCCCATTTAATGGATGCAAATTAAATGAAAAAAAAAACAACAATGAAATAAGTTTTTCCGATGTGGTTGAATATTGGTTAAACGTATACCTAGGACATATAAGATGAATCATATATAATTATGTAATATAACTATTAACTATTGCTGAAAAATACGTTCATGATTTAGTTCACATATAAAAGAATTGTTCACACTTAAATTCAATGCAGTTCACGTAAGAAATACTTTTAATGATAAATGGTAATATGAAGATAGAAGCTGATGTGTACAAAAAATCCTATTTTTTATTTAAAAAGATTTTGCTAGGTGACCATGGTCAATTAATATTGTAATCATAATGATAGTTTTGGTTCATTGATGTTTTGTAGATTTGAACATACGTTTCACAACATAGAACAGTTTCTTTTTCTTCAAATTCCGACTTAAGACAAAATTCACTTATTTGAAAATTTATGGAAAGTCTTAGGACTTATTAAGAAAACTGTTATTAAATGTATTTTTAATATGTTTTAAAATGTAAAATTATTTTTGCAAACACCCTGTTAAATTGCGATGTAATAATATTAAAATATTAATTTCATTTTAATTATTTCTAATTCATTTAATTGACTCATAAATGATATATAAACGTGATTGGAGATGCAACATATGAAATCAAAAGTCACATGTAAAAACAAAATTCATTTAACCTTTTCTACAGCTCTGTACTAAACCACGCAATGACATCAATTCTTGTTTCATATCTCTCACATCTCCTTTAGTAGCGCATTCTATGTAATTTGCCATTTCTTGATTCCCTCCAGTTGTTACATTTTCATTGCAAGTACCCTGTAGTTGTTTAACAAGTTGTGAGGCAAGTAAAAGGGAATTCTTTACAGTCACACATGGGTCCGTTGGTTCAGGTATATTTGCGGTTGTCGATACGAAGAATAGTGCAAATAGTACAATGCTCATTTTGTTGCTCATCATTTGAGATCTAGTTTACAATTAAAACTCAATTAAGGAATGTTTGAAAGTTCACACAGACTTGTAACGTAGGCATATTTTTTAAAGCGCTAACGTTTCATGAAAAATATGCCTACGTGCACGTCTGTGTAATTCACATACCAATTATTCACACTAAAGTTAAGCACATTCCTTATATTTACATTTTACGTATTTGGAAGCAACTAAATTGTACTATCGCCGCTGCTGTACGATACAGCATGGGAAATAATCACAATAAAGCTATCTTGCTGACTCAGTGGGGAACTTTAGACCGATTTTTGTTTCCTGCGGTAATTAAAATATGTCAATTCTAATAAACAAAACTAGTTTGCAGAGTTGTAATGCAGTTTTATTTTATCCAATTAATCTATGCCATGCAATGTGATAGGGGCTTGCTGATCTGTTATATCACGCCTGAAAATTTAGAATAAATTCAGCGAAGTGAAATGTCTTGCCCAGATAGACTCCGTTGGGCCAACGTTGGTTTTTGGTTGTATGGTTGGTGGAGTGTTGGCGTTGGGGAACAGATGTAGGCCCAACGTTGGTCCAACGTTCATTTACGTTGGCATGAAAGCTAAACCAACGGTGTTGGAATGTGATATTGGCCCAACGTTGGTCCAACGTTCATTTACGTGGGAAAGAAAGCTAAACCAACGGTGTTGGGCATGTGATATTGGCCCAACGTTGGTCCAACGTTCATTTACGTTGGCAAGAAAGCTAAACCAACGGTGTTGGGCATGTGATATTGGTCCAACGTTCATTTACGTTGGCATGAAAGCTAAACCAACGGTGTTGGGCATGTGATGTTGGCCCAATATTGGCCCATTGTAGTTACATGTTGACAAGAAACATAGCGATTTGGTGTTGGACATTAAGATGTTGGCCCAACATAAGTCCAACCGAGTAAATGTTGACATGGATTAAGACCATTGTGTGTTAAATATGAAATGTTGGCCCAACGTAGGTCTAACTGAGTACACGTTAGTGGCAAAACATTGCTACTTATTGTTGGTTATTCAATGTTTGCCCAACGTTGGCCCAGCTTAATAAATGTTGACAATATCATGATGCATTGCTCTGTGTTGGGCGTGCTTGACTGAACTGGAGTTGGTCCAATAGTAGGAATATTGGGATTACTAGTACATGTACAGGTAGCCTGTAATGTTTGAGATGAAATGCTGGTCCAACGTTGGCCCAATGTTGCGAAAAGTATTCATCAATTTAGATTTATCTATTGAAAATCGATGGTAATGTAATAAGCAACTCATTATAAACATGTGATCTATATTATATATTGAATGGAAATTATGAGACAATCCTTATAAGTCTGTGAAATACATATAGTAATTTTATATCTTGGTAGATTCTATATTTAGCATCATTGAATCAAATTTAAAGTGCTGTGTTTTGCAAGTTTTGGGCTCCAAAATAAATAGGTCACTGGTGAAATTCACTGGCTCGGCAGGTGACTCATAGGTCTCCAAGGAAACCGACATCTTTAAATCAGTTTTTTTTAACCGCGCACTTTAACAATTCAAAGCGTATGTGTCTGTTTAAGTGAAAGCAAGAATTTTAATCCTTTCAATGTAAGTATAGCTTTTGTTTTTGTTATTGAAATAATTAATAATGTGAAATACACAACATTGTAATGGCCTGCATACATGTAGGCTTTCAAATTATTGGTACCAGGTAGCTGATTAAACAATTGTAATTGATGACGACCTTAACTTTTATAGGAATTGGCGGGCTTGAACAGAGCAGATATGTCCGGATCTGTAAATGAACGCAAGAATGTTAACCAGTGAAATGTAAGTAACTATTTTGTATTTGTTATTAATAATTACTAATGTGAAATTCAATTTAAAAATATGTGTGATGCTGATGAACATTTGAAAATACTATTTTAATTGATGACAATCTTAACGTTTGCAGGAATTGCCCGGATGGAAAAACCCTCTTCACTCTGAGACTATTGATGTGGCATTTCTGTATATGGAAGGGACTGATTTATATGTGTGGGAAACATGGATTCTAAGAACAGATAAACAACAGAAAAAGTGATAAGTGATGCAAATACGACCTTTCAAAACTCTACAGTTAGAACTTGAAGACTCTTATATCAAAGTGATATTTAGTAGTGGACATAGTGATGTGGAGTGTACTTGAGAAACATTGAACTTTCTACCTCTTCCTTCTTTTAGTTACATTCCATGGAATACTTTAATGAAAGTGAAAGTGGCAAAGAATATATTGTGATACATTTTAGGAGGAAAAAAGTATTTGACCTAACATGGTGAAATTAATTGTGTCGTATAATCTGGGAAATAAAAATTACAGAATTTAATTAATTTTGTAAGACATTTGTATTGAGGAATAATTGTATCAACGTTGAACCAACGTAATAACTATATTTTGAACTGAGGTCCAATGTAGGGCCAACGTTACAAAATATTTGGTTAGCATCGGTACGTTGGAATAGCGTTGTACCAACGTTGGCATTTCAACAAAAGCGTTGGACCAACGTCGGACCAACGTCATGATTATACTTTGAACTGAGGTCCAACGTTGGGCCAACGTTAAAAAAATATTGCGTTGGCGTTGGTATGTTGGAATAATGTTGTACCAACGTTGACAAATGAACAAACAGTATTGTACCAACATTGGCCCAACATGTTGGGCCAACGGCGCGCCAATGAGCAGTAAGACATTGGGCCAGCGTAAAACTGCCAACATTGGCCCAACATAACCGACATTGTTGGGCCAACGTTGGGCCAATGTCCTCATGCTATCTGGGTTGTACATAGGCCTAGTATGAAATGTTTAACACTCCCGTGAAACAAAAATTTGAAAAAAGGAATACATGTATTTGTACAAGCATTGTATGTGGAAATATTAGTGACCGTGTTAGAATAATTGAATCAAAAGCAAATACAGATATTGGTCTAAAAGAACTGTTAAAAAGTATGGCGGTATAAGTGTTGAAAGCGGAATACTTTGTAGAAATTGTTTTCAAAAATTAATTAACTTGGACAAAAAATGCGAGAGTTCTATGATTTGTGTCAGAAAAACTATGTGGCTGTGTATACTAGAGGAAAGAGGGAAAGAGGCAGCACCTCGTAAATCAAACTTTCTACGTAGCCCGTCGGTAAAACAACCACGGTATCGTTATTCAAAGCACTTTTAATACTTCTTTCTTTCAAAGACTTTAGAAAATTTAATGTTGAATATCTTTCACAATTTATTTTTGTCAATGCAATTTTCGTACGTACGTAAAGAAAACTCGAGGTAACGATAACCATACATAATATAGCACTCTATGATCTGTTTTGGTTTCCCCGAGGTAGGCCTATTTAAATTCTACGTCAGCGAGAGTTTTTATCAGCCAATGAGCGCGGCCGGTAGAGGGCTCTTTACATTACTGATCACCTGTCTGTATATCTGATATCAGACAGGCAGGCCAGTCTAGTAAACAACGAAGAGTCCAGACATCGAAAGACCGTATTTTTTCAGTTTGTTTGGACGATTTAACCGATTCTTACTTGTGTAAAAGTGTAATAACATGTTTTCCTGTTAAATTTGCTCTGTTTGATTGGATAATTCCACAGGAACCGTCTACCGCGGACTTGAATAGATGATGTGCGAGAACATGTAAGTGCACTACAAACTGTACACTGTACATGTGTGCATTTTTACACTTATTTCGCCCTTTAGACAATATTCTAATGACTGAAATTATAAACATTTTATTCTATTTTATGTAAACAAAAATAGGGTGCGGAAAAATAGATAGAAGTAGTGTAGATAGAAGTAGCTAGATAGAAGGGGGGATAAATATTTACAAATACTCTGTCACATGATTCAATCAGCTATCAATGAGCTCTTAGACAAAAACAATCATATGTATTATGCCTTAATCAGTTTGTTACTATTAACATTTTCCTAGTAAGGTTAGAAAATAGTTTCTTTCATTTCAGTGCAATTTATGATAAATGCATGAATGTAGAATCATTATGACCATTTCTAATGCTACTGTTTAAATGTTTAAAAAGCTCATTCAGCAGTCAGCACTGCACTTACATTGCATGTACATTTGTAATGTATTGTGAGTTATGAAACACAAGTTAATCTTTTAATATTCATTATTACAGAGAATGGATTTGCCTGCACTCATGCGTCATCACAGTATAAAGGATTTTAATCTAAAAAGTATGTATGATTTGATTTTTTATCATGTATTTTTGCATGATCATTAAAATGCATATATATTATTATCTGAGTTAAGATAACGTGTCAGCAGATTCTCGGAACAAGTGATTTTCTTCTTTTAAAAATCTGGAGAGGAAATTAAACTGAAAACAATGTTGAATTATTCTAGTCATTTTGTTGTCTGATGTCATATAAAGTATGTATTTTCTTTTTCATATTCAAATTTCAAGACAAAAAAAAAAAAAAGAAAACAAAGAAAAATACATTAATTAAAAGATAAATACAAGCAGAAAATAGAGAAAATCTCACAAACTAATGTATTCATATACTTGTTAGCAAGTCAACAAGATAAAATGAATGATAATGTACTTGTTAGTAAATTTTGTTAAATAAGATTAAAAAAAAAATAATATATGACTGAGGTTGCAGTATAAGATTTTATTTTTCATGATTTCTTAATGCACTAGTTTTGGGAGAAAATAAAGGTGAAATTAAAGCCAATTGTACATGAAATGTGAAAGATAATCACAATCAAAAACAGTTAAAATGTGTAATAACACAACATTTACAATCTGCATGCCTATAATTTTTTTTCCAGGACAACCCTGCTCATTTCAGCTGTACAGATTGCAGTTAATCTCATATGCTGTTAGACTAAATTATGAACGATAATCAAACCAGTTTCAAAGAGTCCTAAGTCTGAAATCAGGGTGCTTTTATTAAGGAGATCATTGCTTTATTCTGTGCATTGTTGACATTTGTCGAACTGTTCAGTTTATGACCATCTCTCTGACAATAACTCTGACATTTGAAATTCAGTTTGAGTGACGGATAAGAAAGCCATATCATATGCATTTTAAACATTATACAACTGTAATAAAAACATTGATAAACTTAAATTTAAACAAAGTGCATGTAAATTTATCTGTGATCTTGGCATTGAAATTCATCCTGTACATGGATACTTTTAATGAATTTGTCTCATGGTAATGGAATATTAAATTGTTAAACATTGTTGAGGAATCACCATAGTTGCCAACTCACCCGATTTCGTCGGGTCACACCCGATTTTTCAACCCGTAACCCGATTATTTTTTATGACCCGGCGGGTCATGCTTATCACCCGATTTTTGCCGATCAACCCGAAAATCTCCCGATTTTCCGGATTTGGTTCGTAAATTAGGTTGCACTTTTAACTTCCAGTTACAACCCAAGCTTAGATCACGTAAACAATGCCGATGGATTAATTATCAGTGCAGGTGTAAACAATTCCGATAGAACTGGATCGTTATCAGGGTTTGTTCCCGTTTTGCACACATTTTAATTACAGGTAATTAAAAAATGTGTGAAAACGGGAATTTGACCAGGTGAGATAATTACTTAATTCCTATAGTCTATATACCATGATTAGTTAGTATGTGCAAGGTAAACTTATAGTGAAAAAGTAAGAGAATAAATACAAAGTAAATGAATCATAATTATATTTTTGAATGTGATAACTCTGAATTTTTTCCTCTCTTTTTTAGTTCAAAATGTTGATACAACTGAATATATATTCACTTTGATGATAAAACATAGATTAATATAATAATCAACAATTTACTAACATGGAAAGTCACAAAATTTCTGTACTATTTGTTACATTTTGAATTCATTTAGAATTTTATCAAGACTTCACACCTATCAAGACTGAAATTTTTTTAAGAAAATGGACTTAATTAATAAATAATATTAAATAAATATTAATAATGTATTCAATAAAATCAAATATTTTCCCATAAACATATATAGAATTTTAATAAAATGTTTATAAAATTGTATTAAACCTCTTAAGAATACATTAATATAAATCAGGTATTCACAGGTAAATCCTGGTAAATCCAAACCAGAAATCAGACTATAATTGCTATAAAAACAACAGGGCCAACAGGAACAAGTTGAACCAAACACATGTCTCTGATTAAACCAAGAAAAAGAAAAACAATATTTACCGGTATGTACATAATTAAGGAATCTTGGAAAAAAACTTTCATTCTAGATAAAAATAAAGTGATCGAAGACAGTGTAGGCCTAACTTCACATTTAAAACATATTGCAGTAGTTAATTAATTAAGAAAGGGGAAAAATAACTTCAAAACTGAAATTGGTATACTTTCAAATTTAGCAGAAACTGAAAAGGCTTTTATAAAAAAATGCACACTTACTTCAGGTCAATACTAATACATGAAACCTTCAATTTTCATTTTTAACATATAAATTTAAATCAAATTATGTATGAATTTTTTGTCATAGTAAATTAAATCCTTTTTCAATAAAAGAATTCTCAATACAACAATACTTTGTATATATATATATGTATAAAATTTAATCATGGTAAATATGTCGTGCATGTCGTTACGCGTTATGACCAGATTTTTTTACTTTCCAAATCTGGTCATGACCAGATTTTTACATGCTGGAGGTTGGCAAGTATGGGAATCACCCTGAATAAAAATATTGTGAACTTGATCAAATATTTTTTCCTCATTTAAACACTGAAAAATTTAAGATCAAATGTAAAGGTCAAATACAAGGTTTACTCAAGAAAGTGTGATAATTGATGTAAATACTGTGAATTCTTATGCATGTTTTATAAGATCTAAGGCACATGTGTGGATCATTTTAATGTCTCTCAATCAGACACTAATGAACATTAAAGATAAATGCCAAGGTAAAATACAAACTTGGCTTACTCAAGAATGAGTTATAAATACTGTAAATACTGTGAATTCTTAATTTCTTATGCATGTTTTATAAGATCTAAGGAACATGTGTGAGCTCACTACAATATTTATTGGTTTCAATCTGTCTGAGTCTGACAATGAAGATTTAGGAAAATATTTTAAATTAAACATAAATTATTAAATTTCCACACATAAAACAAAATTGGAAATTGAAATACATTTGTTCGGCACTGAACTGACCATAAACTGCATGAGAAGAAAATGAAGTTAAATTAGAAATTTGACATTCTAAATATCTTGAATTTTATTCAGCAACTATATATTTTGCATGTTTGTAAAATATTCACTTAAGAATAAATTGATATGAATTTAAATAAAAAAATATACATTTAGATTTAATAGTTGATATAATAAGACAATTTCACATTTAAAATGTTTAATATGTGAAAGTCTAGATATTCTAGATCTAAATTTTGGCTTGTTTGTTTGGTTTATTGTCTAATCATATCTTCTTGTTTTATAACCGCGTACAGAAAAACATGTGATACAGGCACAGTTAGACTTCACATGTACATGTATGTTATTATTTATGCTGTTCGGTTTAGGAAAAATAAAATTTTACATGAAACATATACTTAAACATTATTACCGTATAGACCTATGTTTTTTTTTAATAATTAATTATAACACGCTGGGAGCATGTCGCGAGCCTGTGGCCATGTCTCCCGATCATTGTAAGTAGGAAAATTGAAACAGAGTCTAGTTATATTTTTTTCGTTTATTCCTTCATCTAGATGCCCAAATTCTTTACAGATGTTCGCAAAATCAGCACTTGCCCACGTTTTATTACAATCTGTTTGTTTACATCGTAAATTTAATTTGAGCGGTGTGTCAGGAATTATGGAATGTCGATCTCGATTATTTTTATCCATTAAAATATGTAACACTTAAATGAATACCATAACCATATCTGCTTTTTTTGGTGGTCATTCTGGTTTTTTTTTTTTTTTTTTTGGTCAAATTAATTCCTAAATATTAAAAAACTGAGAGTTGCAGGATAGGATAGGATTGTGGATGCAGGATTCACGATAGGATAGGATAGGATTGTCAACTTATAGGATAGCAGCACTGTAACCAATATCTTCATAAAAATGATGGAAATTTCTAATCGAAATATCTTTATTTTTATTCAAATTCTATGATTGGATTTGACTGCAGGCTTTGAATGTTTTGGAAAGAAAAACCCTTAAAAATAAATCAGTAAAAATAAATAAAGAAGTATTTTTCGCATCTTTAATGAAAATATATTGACAATTCAATGAAGATTCAATAAAACTAGCTTGGCTTTTTTTTTTTAATTCATTGTTAGCCTTATATAAAATATTTCTAAATTAATTATTAAAATAAAAAAAAAACGACATTTAATTACAGATATTTAAAACAAAGTCAATTCAATGCAAGGTGCAAGGAATCATGTTACAAAGAAATGAATAACACACGACTTTAGTATTGATGTAATTTTCATAAAAACAAGTACTTATAGCATTTTGACCGAATAAAGAACATCCACGAAAGGACAAGTGGAATGCTAAAAGGCCATGCAAATGCTCATAATGATATTACAATGTATTGACACTTCTCAACTACGTTGTGGTTTAAAACGATCGACTCACGATCGTCGAAATGTATTTTTTAATTATATCTAAAGATAAATTACAATAAAATTTAAATTGAAGCATTTTGCATTAAAGTTGAAGGAGCAGTATTCAAAAACATAGTTGATAAGAGATGACATTAGTTACCCCAACGAATGTTTTTGCAGTAGGCAAAGTCCCGCAACAAAGTTAACTCAATTTCTTTAATACTGTATTCATCTCTATATACAAACTTCATGCAAGGTTGGTTAAGGTAGGTCTGAAGGTTGTTTGGAGTTTCATGCAATTATTGATAAATATTTAACAGACGATTGAAAATTTGACCCGAAGCAGTGAAGATCCTTAAATGGATTATTCTGTTAGCCACAACTTATGTGGGACGGCAATTCTGACTCAACCACTTGATTCCTTAATCATAAATTTGAAAGTTGGGTTATAGATGCTGAAAATGTAACTGGTAGCTACATGTACATTTTTAATCATAACAGTCCGAAATTTCACCTTACTGCGAGCTGAAAAACTACACCTTGTATTCTGTCCCCAATTTGTTCAATCATAAACGAATTTTTACAATGCATACCTTTTGGAAATCTTATTAAAATCTTGTCCAAAGTTGATCTTTTCCCATTATTTCAACAATAGTCCCGCTGACTCGTTGTTGCTTGTGATTAAATATAGGCATTATGTACATCTTTTTAATAAGGGAAGGGGATAAGCCCCCCCCCTCCCTTGTTTCGAGGTCTTCCCCCCTTGTTTCGAGGTCTTTGATTGTTGATAAAATTTGAAGAATATGTAAAAAAAAATGTTAAACATTGATCCTAAAGCTTAAGAAGCTGAAGTTGCTCTTCAGTTTGTGACAGTTCGAACTGATCCTCAAGATAGTCGTCTGCATACACAAGCGTCTGTCGGACAGCGGATAGCGCCAAAATATCGACTGGAATTTGCTGTTTGGTTTCTTTTTCATAATTCTTCACAGGGAATACATGAGAGCGAGGAAGCCCTATAACTTCAGCTGCTTTGTCAACAGCCTGTTTGCAAGCTTCACTGCTGAATATTCTGCGAACGTCTTCATCCACAAATGGACAGATTTTATCTAACTTCGTCAAGTAGACTATTTGTGGAATTCCTAAAATAAGACACCTTCAATTAACAATATTTACATTTTCAATGTCTTTGTCCGAGATAAAATTACCAAATGTAAATGTACTTTATTTCCCCCATCAATGTATTGGCGCGGTTCCAAAAAAACCACGTGTAAGGCGGGACAAAGCTAGACAGAAGCAGGGCTTGGAGCACGTGGATTGGCGGAATCAAAGCATGTAAATATAAGGAATAACTGTCAGATTTTTCAATTT